GTTTCTTACATCTGTGAGTCAATCAAACTGAAGCATTATTTCTGATAACGGATACCAGAGGTTAATGTTGACAGGGATACTTGAGACAGTTGTTCTAAGGAAACTAATAACACACTTAGCAAACAGCTGGGCTTTCATATTTTTGACAGATTATGCAATCCAAACTGTTTAATTGTATTATTTCTGTTCATGACTAACAACTGATACGATCATCTGATCTGCAGTCAAAAGCAGCACTTATCCTTCCAAGCTCGGGTCCTCTACCTGGGGGCTTGAGGGTTCTGCAGTATCTTAGCTGTTCCTAGATCTGCACTTTTCTGGACTGAGATGTCTGATGTTTTTCCTGGGATCTGCTTTAGCCGCTCCTCCAGTTTGGGGGTTACTGCCCCGATGACCATGGGCATCACCGATATCTTCACTCTCCAGGCTTTCTCAAGTTCTTCCAAGAGGCCCCGGTGCTTCTCTAGTTTCTTGTGTTCCTTTTTTCTGATGTTGCATCACTTGGTATCGCCACATCAACCACAACAGCTGTCCTCTGTTGTTCGTCCACCACCACAATGTCCAGTTGGTTCGCCATCACCATTTTGTCAGTCTGGATCTGGAAGTCCCACAGGAGCTTGGCTCTCTGGTTCTCAACCACCTTATGGGGTGTTACCCACTTTGACTTTGGGGCTTCCAGTCCATACTCTGCACAGATGTTTCTGTACACACTGCCAGCCACTTGGTTTGCCTTGTCCTTGATGTACTTATGGATCTTGGATGTTTCATCCTGGACAGTGGCTCTCACACTCACTAGTCCTCGGCCTCCTTCCTCACAACTAGTGTACATTCTCAGGGTGCTGCATTTAGGATGGAACCAAATATGCTTGATTAGGAGATTCTGTGTCTTGACATCTGTGGTCTGTATCTCCACAGACACAGTGATTTTGTATTACCACATCATTTGATGTTGATGATTCTCTTTCTTTCACTAGTTTTAATAATATTATTATATTTCCTTCTGCTTTTTATAATATAATTAATGAATAATTGTTATATACCTTTCCTTTGTACCCCTTCCAGTTCCATAGCTGTGCTGGATCGTATTTAACACCATGTAGACTTATTTTTTTGCCTTCATTCGATTACTGCAGCCTGAATTGTGTTGCACAATGTTGTCAATAAAGTTGTTAGCGGAACAGGACATGCTAGACGTTGACGTTTTTTCGTCATATCCTGGACGCGCGTAGTTGTGCGTTTGTTTATGTTTCTTTTGTTGTCCGCTTGAGCGGAGATTCTGACTTAACGACATTTTTAGAAGCGCACATAACAAGCACCGCCTTTTCGGTACATTCATAGCAGCACTTTTAGCGACTGTTCATTGGAAGCGGGAGGGAGAGAAGTTTTTGCCGGGGGTTGTTAAATAATAGTTACTGCTTGTAAAACGAAAGCTGATTTGGTGCTCATTAGCACGTTCGATTTTGAATATTGTTCTTTTATTCTTTGCCCTACGTTATTTTAGAGCCGTAATAGTATCGTGAGTTGCTTAGCTAACTTTTCTCAACGTCAACGTTTAGTCGGTCAAACCTGCCTAGCTTACTTTGATTGAAGCTAATGGCCACAAGAAAGCTTCCTAAAAATGGTAAGTGCTACACTAGACGTGAGTTATTTATATTTGTTGATGGTTAGACTTATACGTTTTTACTCTTTGTAGCTTCATGCCTCACCTATTCATCTTATGTGTGCTTTACTTACTTTACTAACGAGGCGCGGTTTGTTGCTTTGATTAAATGGGTAATTATATAGAACACACATGTTTAAATCTGCCTACAACCTCTGATTTTATTGAACTGTTTCTCTCTTTGTTTTTGTTTTTCTTGTTTGGGTTTTATTATTGTTTTATTGTATTTTATTAAGTGTTTTCTGTCAAGTGACCTTGGGTGTCCTGAAAGGCGCTTTTAAATCAAATGTATTATTATTATTATTATTATTATTATTATTCTGCTCAGATTCCCTTCCTTTTGGAGCTCTTCAGCTCCTGGCCCCGCCTGTCCGCCTGGTGTCCGCAGCCCTCTGGAAGGTCCTGAAGCAGAAGGATGTGATGCAGTATGGTGTTGTGGAGGAATTTGTGACATCTGCCTGTGAGACCGTGCCAGGGCTGCTCACCCCGAGACACCAGGGCAGGCTGACACTGGGGCTGGCAGCACGGGTGAGTAGTACTGGCGCGTGATGATGCGACCAGCATCAGGTCTGTTCCTGGGAGTTGATCAATCTTTTTTCCTTTCAGTTAATCCTGGAGTTGTGTCGCACCCAGACTGATGCTAAGGTGATTACGCCACATCTGGAAAGAATCCGCGTTCCAGTTGTTGCTTCATCCTCATCTGCCGCTCCTAAGGTGAATTAGAACTAAAGCTCACAGGGGTGGTTTTTATTTAAAACTCAGATTTCATCAGACAGTTTCAAGGAATCCTAATTCACGATGGTCATGTTTTTATTGACCTTAAAAACATATTTATTTAAAATTTAGAGTGCTTTAACTTTGCTGCTTACCGCCCACATTGAGATAAATATGCTTTCCTTAACAAACGACACCAAAGACTGCTCAGATTTATCATGCTGTTTGTTAACAACTTTTCAGAGCATGATCCTAACGGCAGAGTGTTTAGGGTCTTAAATATTTCTGCTAGATCTTCAGGAGACCGAGGCTGAATAATATTTGCATGATGATAACTCAAAGCACAATCTATAATTTGACTGTTGTTAGTTATTTATATAAGAAAGATGTAAATTAAGTCAAATGTGCTGAGCTCTTATACTACTAGTTAATAAAAGGACAAAAACATGATTTATTAGCAGGTTTTTTTTGTGAGCAGAAATCAAAGCTTCATCTAAAAATAAAAGTAGATTTTTACATGATTTCCGATAGGATTATGTAAATCTGATAATGAATTGTGTATTTTTCTTTTGTCTGAGAGAAGAAGGATGTGAAGTTGTTGAAAACGATTACAAACTTCCAAGTTTTAATCCAGACACTGCTACGAGACCCAGCAGAGAGAGAACATTTCTTCAAGGTAAGTACTTCTTAGAGATTATATTTTCAGTTGCTGTTCGGTTGAAACAGCTGCTTTTGTTTATGTTTTTGTGACAGGAAAGGTTTCTGGTGGATTACGGTTCAGCGTTCGACCAGGAGCTGGAAAAGCTCCTGTGGGAGTTTTTGATCCGACTGGACCAGCTGCTGCCTGTCCCCAGTCTCGCTCAGGTGGATATTTTCACTTTTATTAGTTGCTGCTGTAATCTGTTGTTTGTGCTTTAATAAAAGCAACAGCTTGATATTTATTTTTCCGTCTCAGACGGTGTCCTGGCTCAGTGAGACCCCTCCTGTCTTGGAGGAGTGTGCACAGGCAGCCACTCAGCCACAGCTCCTGAAGCTCTTACTTCAGCATCAGACATGTCTGGGTCACCTGGAACCAGCAGGTTAGATGGTTTTACTCCGTGACTTCTCCCAAAATGTGTTATTTTTTCAAGTTTTCATAAGACAATATAAGAAAATGGTATATAATCAAATCAATCATTTAGACATCTGTAGGAAAGATCCAATCAAAAATGAGCTTAGCCCTTAAACAAACCCAACTTTAGTAGCTATATGACTTTAAATGGGACCGTATTTGGAAAATTTTTAACATTATGTCCTGTTAAAGGAGACTGATAATGTAAAGCTCTTAAATTTTGTTTTATGAACCACGCGTTCCAAAGACTTACATCAGTTAAAATGAATCAATTCTTCTAGAAATTATTGTTTTAGTTCCAGAGATCACCTCAAGGCCCTGAATGTGTAATTTACCATTTTAGTCCACTGTTATAAAGGTTTAAGTGGATTTCTGTGCAAAATTATGAACACATATCTTACCCGCTCTTTAACTTATTCACTGCCAGCGTTTTTCAGCATTTTCACAGTTTTTTTTAAGAGTCACAGAACGTTGCGCGCTAGGATGATGTCGACGCCAAAACAAAGCGGAGACTCGTCTCTTGCATCAGGAAGAATCCGCGCGTTATCCATTCTTTCATAATCCGTTATCGAATTGTGATCGGCAGAAGCTTTTTTTACATCAGCAGCCCAAAACGATCTCCTAACACATTGATTTTCTGCTTCCTGATCACGTGATGTGTGACGTATGCGGATGAAGATCGGCTTTAGAGCTGAGATGTTTGTTCTCATGGTGTGGGGGCTCGTCCGACGTCCACACAGTAAAAAATAAAAATGAATAAAAATGCAGTGAACGGTTGTATTTAAAATGACGACTTTTGTCATCAGTGGCAGTGAATGAGTTAAACACCCTCAGTTTGGAAACCAGTCTCACCACCTGATGACTAGTCACAACCTGACCAAAGGGAACATTGACAGAAATTTGTGTTTTACTGTAGAAAATGTGATGGAACACGTTTTTTGTAGAAGTTTCCTACAAAGGTTTAAATGCGTGTGAAGTAATCTGTGCTGATCTTGTTTACAGCGTCCTTACCTCCGAATATGGGCGACTCCATCCTGGCCTCTCTCTCTCTGCCGCTGTCTGGAAAAGTGGAGTTGGATCCGGCGACAGGATCAGATGCAGGGCAGACGGCGTCGTGTATTACACCTGCGATCGGACTCCTTTCTGGTGAAAACGTACCTGTTGTGGTCTTGGCTCGGGAAAAGATGCTGCAGAGGGACGAGGCAACAAACTCTAAAGAAGATGGAGGGGAGGAGGAGGGTGAAGGACCGAAGGAGGGGGGGTTTGTGGATCAAAGCAGCGGACTGAAACGCAAGGGAGCCGATAAAACTGAGGCTGAGGAAGCAGAAGACTTTTTGACCTCACCTTTGAGAAAGAGGACAAACGGTAAAAAGCAGCCGAGAATAACGAAGAGTGATGAAAGCGAAGCCGGAGGACCTGAGCGCGGTGAACAAGAACTCCTTCATGCGTATCTGAGCGAACACGGCTTAGAAACGCTTCGCTTGCCTGAAGATCCATCCCTGTGCTCTGTTTTCACTTCCTGTCTGAGCAGGAAACCAAAGGTTGTCATAAAAAAACTGACTTTTGCTCCTGCGGGCTGTAGCATCAAGACGTCGTTTTACAAAAAGCAACATCAGGACCGGAGACATCCGTCGCCGCGGAAACAAACGAGCAGCTGTCAAACTCTTCAGCGTCCCAGGATGGACGATAAAGAGTAAGGGATGAGTAAAGCTGACAAACGGGAGTTTCCCTTCTGTAAATGTGTCTTTAAAGTGTTTTATCATGTATTCTGAAGGTTTTTTTCTGCATTATTTTGGAGCCAACAATTAAAAACAAGCTTTTATATTGTTAGTATGTAAGAGTTTGCCGCATTTGGAATAAAATGATATTTCCACTGATGTTTCAAAAGTGTTGACAACTTGATCTTAGCCATCATCTTACAGATACAGTAACTTAAATAGAGTTTATAATGAGTTATCTACATGCACACTTCTGGAGAAATATAGGTTTGCCATTTTTTTCCCAACATTCTCTGCATTTAAACCTGTTGATTGTTTCTACTTGACAGAAATCAGCCTGTGCTCTCAGATGTGAGCGGCGGCTCCTCTCTCCAGCCCCGTAGCACAGGTGATTTAACTCATTAGATGGTTTGATTAAAGAGAAATAAAAACTAACGCCTGACACAGTCTTAACGTGTGCTTCTGTGTTTAGAGGCTGCAGCTCGCCGAGAAGACGCATACGTAACAGACTCTGAGGATGAGGCAACCAAGAACTTTAAAGGAAGAGTATGTATTCTCTAAATGTCAGAAATTATTTATAAGGTTAATTTCGTGTCCTTTTTTATTAAAAAAAACTGAGTTCCCTTTTACTTCAGAGAAAAAACCTTTAGAAGATGGTTTTATTGGATATCTACTAAGTTTAAATACCGTATTTTCCGGAGTATAAGTCGCACCAGCCATGAAATGTATAATGAAGAAGGAAAAAAAAACATATCTAAGTCACATTTTGGAGGGAAATTTTATTATTTTTCTCTCAAAATCTGAGACCAAGCATTTCACATTGCAAGACAAGTACCGGTAGCAATAACAGAATAACCAATCAGGGCGCAGCAGCGCGCCATGGTCTCCAGCAGGTGATGGCGGTGTTTCAAACCCTCCCAGCGGGGCAGAGGAGCTGAAACCTGGACCGGAGCCGGCCCACAGCAGCGCGGTATAATTTGGTATATAAGTTGCAGGACCAGCCAGACTATGAAAAAAAAAAGTGCCACTTATAGTCCGGAAAATACGGTATATTGTTTTCCTGTTTCAGATTCCGTACATTTTTTGGCAATTAACTACTTCCGTAATTCTCCAGCTACTACAGCAAATTTGGTTTTAAAATGTTCATCTCATTCAGCTTTCGTCATTTATTACTTTGGGTACTGAAATCTTTTCTACTTTTTTAGATATTCAGCTTTTTCTGCCCTTTTTTTTGTCCCATTAGAATACGTGGGAAATGCTTCAAATTCTCAATGTTCACAAAATCTTTGGCAAACTAACCTAGAGATTTCTTTCCAAGTTTATTGTGGTCACAACTGAGGCATTCAGCTATTTCCCTATGACTCAGCTTCTAGGTATCTTTAACCATGTTTGTATAATGACCCAGACACCAACCAGCCACAAACATAAGGATTTTCAGTTCCAGTCAGAAGGAAGGAATGAAGAAATGATTGAGCGAATGAATGAATTTTACAGAACACAAGGGCCGAGACTACTCACTCACCCATTCACCCTTTACTCACTTATTCACTAGCTTATTAGTGATTTTTGCTTCTTAATCTTCAAAAATATTCAGTTCATTTAGAAAATTTAGCCGTTTCAGCTTCACTTTAGCATTTCAGCAGCTTCAGCTATCAGTTTCAGAATTTAGCGTATGCTGCCAAATTCACAGTTCAGCATATTGTTAAAATGTATCCGTTTAACTATTCCTACTCAGATACCATCTGTTTAAACATTTCAGCTGTCCAGGTTTTTAAACTACAGGTGCTGGCCAGTAAATTAGAATATCATCAAAAGGTTGAAAATATTTCAGTAATTCCATTCAAAACGTGAAACTTGTACATTATATTCATGCAATGCACACAGACCAATGTATTTCCAATGTTCATTACATTTAAATTTGATATTCATAAGTGACAACTAATGAAAACTCCAAATTTGGTATCTCAAAAAATTAGAATATTCTGAAAAGGCTGAATATAGAAGACACCTGCTGCCACTCTAATCAGCTGATTTACTCAAAACACCTGCAAAGGCCTTTAAAAGGTCCCTCAGTCTTGTTTTGAAGGCACCACAATCATGGGGAAGACTTCTGACTTAACAGCTGTCCAAAAGACAATCATTGACACCTTGCACAAGGAGGGCAAGACACAAAAGGTGATTGCTAAAGAAGCTGGCTGTTCGCAGAGCTCTGTGTCCAAGCACATTAACAGACAGGCGAAGGGACGGAAAAAATGTGGTAGAAAAAAGTGTACAAGCTCTAGGGATAACCGCACCCTGCAGAGAATTGTGACGACAAACCTATTCAAAAATGTGGGGGAGATCCACAAAGAGTGGACTGCAGCTGGAGTCAGCGCTTCAAGAACCACCACGAGGAGACTCATGAAAGACATGGGATTCAGGTGTCGCATTCCGTGTGTCAAGCCACTCTTGAACAAGAAACAGCGCAAGAAGCGTCTCGCCTGGGCCAAGGACAAAAAGGACTGGACTGATGCTGAGTGGTCCAAAGTTATGTTTTCTGATGAAAGCAAGTTCTGCATTTCCTTTGGAAATCAAGGACCCAGAGTCTGGAGGAAGAGCGGAGAAGCACAGAATCCACGTTGCATGAGGTCCAGTGTAAAGTTTCCACCGTCAGTGATGGTGTGGGGTGCCATGTCATCTGCCGGTGTTGGCCCACTCTGTTTCCTGAGGTCCAGGGTCAATGCAGCCGTCTACCAGGAAGTTTTAGAGCACTTCATGCTTCCTGCTGCTGACCAACTTTATGGGGATGCAGACTTCACCTTTCAACAGGACTTGGCACCTGCACACAGTGCCAAAACCACCAGCACCTGGTTCAAGGACCATGGTATCCCTGTCCTTGATTGGCCAGCAAACTCGCCTGACCTTAACCCCATAGAAAATCTATGGGGTATTGTGAAGCGGAGGATGCAATACGCTAGACCCAACAATGCAGAGGAGCTGAAGACGACTATCAGAGCAACCTGGGCTCTCATAACACCTGAGCAGTGCCACAGACTGATCGAGTCCATGCCACGCCGCATTACTGCAGTTATTGAGGCAAAAGGAGCCCCGACTAAGTATTGAGTGCTATACATGCACATTCTTTTCATGTTCATTCTTTTCAGTTGGCCAACATTAGAGAAACAAACATTTTTTCATTGGCCTTTAGAATATTCTAATTTTCTGAGATACCAGATTTGATGTTTTCATTGGTTGTCACCTATAAATATCAAAATTAAACGTAATAAACATCGGAAATACATTGGTCTGTGTGCATTGCATGAATATAATGTACAAGTTTCACGTTTTGAATGGAATTACTGAAATATTTTCAACCTTTTGATGATATTCTAATTTACTGGCCAGCACCTGTATATTCAGAGATTTAAGTTTTCTGCCGTTTAGGATTTTTGTCTCCATTCTTCACCTATTTTCTGGATTTTCTTACACTTATTAGTGATTTTTGCTCCTAAATCTTCAAATACGTTCAGCTCATTTGGACAATTTAGCTTAGTTTGAGCTTCAGTTCAGCTATTCAGCAGCTGCAGCGATCAGGTTCAGAATTCAGCATTCAAACAGCATTTCTGCAAGAAATGTAATTTGTTTAGTTTAACTTATTTTTGTGTAAAAGTTTTAGATTTGGGTTGGGGTCTTTCGTCCACGTTTGGATGCTGTTAGGCCGAGACAGCTGAACCTCTTCGTTAACAACGCTGCCTCCTGGATAACGCCACATCTGAGAGCGTTGCTTGTAGCAACCTATCGACGCGTCGTTGTCAGACATATGACCTTTTCTGCTGGTAAAATTTATGGAACAAACACACATGCTCCCCTTGATCTGTTCCGCACTGTAAAAATCTGCTCCTCCTCATAAATACTCCCACTGCGTTGCTTTTTCTGTCTTTAGCTTGGCCTGGTTCCCTTTCCAGCTGTTTCATGTGGCTTCACCTGGCTATGGGAAAGGGATAAAAAATGGCCCCTCTGACATCCGATCACCTTAGTTTCTTCCTGTTTGAACTTCGTTAGGACATGAAAATAGAAGTTTTGAGATGATCGGAGCAACTCAGACCCAAAATACACGCTTGTTTGTTTAGGGCAACCTCCCACAGCGCATTGCAATGTTACCTCCCGATCTATTTTTAGCTACTGTGAAAGGTGCTATTACAAACAAATAGTTTGCTCTAAAAATATCCCAAGCTACTTTGACTCGTTTTCTGTTGTCATCTAGAATCTTCTGGCGCTGATTGTCGAATTGTCTTGATACATGGACTGCAGTACCCACATTTGACCACAGGATGCCACTCTACTTCACGCACCTTTAATTTCTCAGCCGTTTATGGAAACTTTATATTTTGTATAAATCTTTATACCCTTAAGTAGAAATTAATAGATTCCTTGAATGTTTCAAATATTTCCACTAAAACAGACTTCAAAATGACCCAAAAATAAAAACCGTTTTACTCAGACACACCATTACTTGTGATTTTCTCTGTTTTTCCAACTGAATTTGCTGCCCCCAGCTGTTCTCGAAGCGCTACCACAAGACCAAACATGGCACCTACTTTCCCACCCTGAGGGAGTTCTGGAAGCCCAGTAGGACCCAGGTGGACTCGGCCGCCGCCCGCAAACGCAGATGATCAACAGGACCAATCACTGCAATTGTCTCAAAGTACTTATAAAATATGCAAATAGAAAAAATGCTGGAAGTGCTGCAGGGGTGTGAGAAATCTTATCTGGTGCTCTCACTGGTGCTCTTCAGCCAAGGGATCCACATAAATGTTGGCAAAAGGAGATCTGAGGCACTCAGGAGGTACAAAAATAAAAAGCCTTTATTAGTACATAGCTTAAATTGTTAAAAACATCAATGCCAACGCGTTTCAGCCCACAGGGCCTTCGTCAGGGCTCAAAATGTTTGTATACTCACTCACCCCCATGTTAAAAAGGCCAATCAATGACACCTGCCAAAGCTGGGCAGGTAGACTGCATTCTGATTGGATGGCCAGTACAACACAAAAACTTTTTACATCTAAACAATCCTATTGTAAGGATGAATACTTACAAATATGAAATTTCACTTCTAGAATTTGAGAAAAAATTATAAATATGGTACACAAATCGTAAGAAAACATGAGATTATAAATAAGGAGCTAAATCTAATTCTCCATTAAGACCTGGGAAATTAGTAGCTTTTAGTGTGTAAATCCAAAATGATTCTCTTTGCAAGAGTTTTAGGGCTGAAACGCGTTGGCATTGATGTTTTTAACAATTTAAGCCATGTACTAATAAAGGCTTTTTATTTTTGTACCTCCTGAGTGCCTCAGATCTCCTTTTGCCAATACTTATAAAATATTTTTACTTAAAGGATATGTTTGACTTATGATTTATTATCTCATCATGGAAATGACCGCATTAACTAAAAATGCTTATATGTATTGTCTTGATGTCTATGCAACATTTAGTTCTTTTACATACATAATGTGTTTTAATACCTTCACTTATTAAAGTTTTACTCAAAAAGTTGCTCAGTCCTTTGTTTGTATTGTTGAAGAAACTACTTGGTTCACAAATAAGGAACATTTCAAAGTGTTTTACTTAAAAGGGAGACCAGGCTGTTTTGGCTTGCTTTTACCACCCCAATGTTCGTTTGTAGAAACAAAATCAAAACGTATCCCCTCGCTGTGCGTTCGTCTTTTTAAAACCTTTATTTAACAGCTGAAATATCTCCCAGCCCTCATTAGTGTCTACAGGAGTGGCTCATCACTAAATTAAACAAATCAGATGTGTTCGTGATCTAAAACATGCAGGAAACATGTTGAAACCAAACTGCAGCGCCAGGCATGTCAACTCAAATTTTTTAAGTCAACAGAGCGGACTGGCAACTCTGAAGTTGCAAATGGAATATTCAGGGCACGGGGTCGATGGGGGCACAGTGGCCTTTCATTAACTCTGTAAAGCAGGGGTATTCTGTTCTGGTCCTGGAGGGCCAGTGTACATGTTTTAGTGGTTTCTCTGCTCCCACACACTTGAGTGGTTTAATCACATGTGCAGCAACTCATCAGGCTCTGCAAAAGCTTGTTGATCACCTGCTGATTGAAATCAGGTGTGTTGAAACAAACGCGCTAGATACCGGCCCTCCTGACCCGGAATTGAATACTCCTTCTGTAAAGGATCCTTTTAGCACATACAGGCTCAAGAAAATTATGAAAAAGTTGCAAAGTATCCCTTTAAATGGACAGGATAGACATTATTATATAACTAAATGACCTTTTCCAGCATGATTTGCCAGTTTTGGTTTCATTTTGTCAACAGTTTTTGTTAAATTCTCATCTTGATTGGAAATAGTTGCAGAAAGCCTACAAAATGTGCTCAAGAACCCAAAATCTTTTGGAAAAAACCCCATCTTGGCTATATTGGCTTTATTCTGCACTGCGCTTGACAGATTTTGTATTAAGGCAAATACGTAGGAACACAACTAATCAACACAAATGATTCCCCTGAGAGCTCAGAGTCGGCAGCCCATCCCTCCGGTCACGGTGATCGTCTCTCCTGTGATGTAAGAAGCTTCTTCAGAGCACAGAAAGGCAATCACACCTCCGATTTCCTCAGGTTCTCCAAGTCTAAAACAGAAAACAAGACAAATGCAGTCAAAACATGAAATTCCATGACAAGTTTCATAAGGGGGGGGATACCTTTTAATGCTGAGCTGCTTTTTTAGCTCTTCCACGACATCTTCATTTTTCCACAACTGGAACACAAAATAGGCATGTTTCATTAATCAAACCCTTATAAATACAAGTTCACCAGCTTGTGAGTTTGGTCTTCTCACCGCAGAGCTGAATCTGGTTTTGATGACTCCAGGAGCCACGCAGTTCACTCTTATGTTGCTCTGAGCCAGCTCAGGAGCCAGGGCCCGGGTCAGACCCAGCAGGGCCGTCTTACTCACGCAGTAAGGGCCCAGAGCCTGCAGAGAGCCGAGGATCCCGTGGGTTACATGAACCCAACGTAATTATATGTTTAGTGCATGATCTCTCACCTGCATTGGCTGGTATGCACCCACAGATGACACAAATATTACGTTTCCTCCTCTAGAAGAAAAACACAAATGCATCAAACACGCCAAAAAGGGATTTGATCCTCACAAGTTCATCGCTCACCCCCTCTTCTCCATGTGAGGCACCACCAACTTAGTCATGAGGAAAGATGATTTTACATTTACGGACAGAATCTGCAGAGAGACGTTAACAATTAAAGACAAATTCAACAAAAAGTCTTTGTTTTGGTTTTAATTTGACATGTTTTGGTTCATGAAGGGATTTCTAATGAGTACTTTGTCCCAGACGTCCTCCGTGGAGTCCATGATGTTTCCAAAGAAAGGGTTGACAGCTGCGTTGGACACCAGGATGTCAATTCCACCACACTGATCCAGAGTCTTAAAAACAAGAGGAATCAGTTTCATAACTAAGTTGCATCAAATCACAGATGAGAAAATAAAAGTGAGAAATTGTTTATATAGCACCTCTCAGGATAAAAACCACAAGAGCAAAAATTTTTTAAATATTAAAAGAAAAGTCTTTAAAAAAAAATTAAAATAAATGATTGAGATTGTTAATTGGAAGTTTCCAGAGCTGGACTCCATTTAAATATCAAAGCTCCTGCTGCAGGATAATGATATTAAGTGTCAACCTAAAGGCGAACGGAGTAAGAATGACATCTTGTGGTGAAATGTGGGTACTGCAGTTCATGCATCAATACAAACAAGTCTGCTCGGAGCACCCGTTGCCAGTTACGGATCGGCATCAGAAGATCTAGATGATGAGTCATACACCGTAATTTGAGAAGTAATCAAGCAGTTGGTAACTGAAAAATTAGCTTGTGATATTTTTAGAGCAGACTTTTTCCTAATTCACTGTTAGCTCCATGTTAGCCTATTGCCTTCTTCTCCCCATATTACAGTAAAACAACGCATTGTTTGACTTAAAGATCTGACATCCCCACAGGCTCACACATGATTGGTTCTGGAACCAGGAAGTGTGAAAGTCGGACAAACTGTAAAGTGTTGCCCAATCCCAATACAGCACTGCGCACTACGGTCTTCAGCAAAGTGCACTTGGAGGAAGTGTGCAGTAAGGCTTTGAGTGGGTAGTACACAAGTTTGCAAATAATTGCCGAATTGGGACAGTGAGCATTACGTCATCAACTGCAATGCATGCCAGTCGCATTGATGCGGACTTCTGCCAAATGGTAAGTGTAATTGGCCTGTATTTGATATAGCACCTTCTAGAGTCCTGGAACCCCCCAAGGCGCTTTACAGCACAACCAGTCATTCATCCATTCACACACACATTCACACACTGGTGGGGATGAGCTACGATGTAGCCACAGCTGCCCTGGGGCGCACTGACAGAGGCGAGGCTGCCGAGCACAGATGCCACTGGTCCCTCCGACCACCACCAGCAGGCAAGGAGGGTTAAGTGTCTTGCCCAAGGACACAACGACAGCGACAGACTGAGCGGGGCTCGAGCCTGCAGCCTTCCGATTACGGGGCGAGCGCTTAACTCCTGTGCCACCGTCGCCACCATCGCCAAGTGCGGATCAAGAATGCAAAAGGGGCGTGGTCAACTTCTGCAGTTGATCGGGACACCCTACGCACTCGCACCCTTGGAGTGGAATGCACAATTGACGGATGGAAGTGCGAGTATTGGGATTGGGCAGGGGCTGCACCCTTCTAGGACAGTTGACGCTGGCCGGGTTCTTTGTCGACCAGGAAGCAAGCAGCTGTGAACTTAGATGGTCTAGCCTTCAGATTAACCCCACCAACACCTCAACAATGTTCTGTTACCTAGCAACAGTGACGACCTTGAACCACAGCCGAAGAGAACTGAGCTCGAAATTTTTGAAACGAGTTTTTATGTCCTAGAGAAGTTACAGCAGCTGTACTTAAAATGAGAGCTCTTTTAAAATGAGAAATTATTGTTTAAATTCCTTTAAAAATTGTATAAAAATGACTAAAGCCCTATATTTAACCATTTTAAGTTTATATTTAACTAATTTTAGTCCGCCATTGTTAGAAAAATCCCCTGCTCGGCACGCAATGCATCTTGGGATACGGTGAGCTGTGAAAGATACACCAGACCTGTCCTTCAAATCTGGAGAAAACAGGGCTGCATGTGAAGGAGTCTTTGAATTTGGACAGCCTTCGTCACAACGCTGTGACGCAATCGGCTTAGGATGCAGCCCCTGAATTTGGACACACCCAAAGATTACGTCCCTCTTCTGCCATTTTAAAATGAGAAAAACTGAAACCCCCCCCCCCCCCCCCCCCCAACTGGCTGAGAATGAAATCTGTTTCAATGTAACCTTTCTTCCAACATGATTGAAACACGTGACTGTTTAATGATTATTTGACTGTAAAATTCTTATTGTACCTTCAAACCAAAAATAAAGTGTCTTTTTTTCTCTCCCATTAAGCCAACATTCATTACAGGTCCTGAGGAATGGCTTTAACAGAGCTCTCCACACCAGACGTAGAAAGAATGTAGCTGAAGAAGACCTTTTAGAGAAGAAAGGATTCAAATCCCTCCTGAACACAGGAAATATCTGAGGTGGACATGGGGGGGTGATTGAGGATCCTCACGATATTATATCCAAACATCTAATTTGTTTCCATCAACACGGTAAAAGTTTCAATAAGAAAAACATGAGAGGAAGACCATTTTTTTTTTGTTCTGCACGCTCCTAATGAACTTACCATTTGGACCAGCTTCTCCCTGTCCTCACCACTGCTAACGTTACATGTGGTTCCAGTTACTTTGATGCTCTGGCTCTGCAGCAGGGCCACAGCCTTGTCCACGTTGGCCTGCCTCCGGCTGCTCACCACCACATGAGCCCCTCGTTTCCCCAGAGCCTGAGCTGTAGCCAAGCCAATTCTGAAGAAAGTATGAAAAATTATTACTTTTAAAGACGCAAAACTGAAACTTGATCCTCCGAACACAAGGCAGCCTGCTGTGTGCTTTTTGTGATGGATTGTGTAAAAGTGATTTATCCTGACCAGCTGACCACAGCCACTTCCTTGATCTGTTTTGGTGATTTCAGAGCTGAACAATGTCACTCTTACCCATCTGTGGAGGCAGTAACTATGGCTACTTTCCCAGTGAGGCTGCTTTGAGACACGCTTCTTTGGCCAGAGACGAAGTTCATTTTGAGAAACCTGAATGCACTTCTCATCGTCACCTGTGAATAAGAAGTGGTCACTTTTTTGTGCAAATACTGGCTAACTAGGGCAGAGGTCATGGACTATAGTGAACAGGCGCGATCCTGAGACAAAGCAAACAGATTTTTCATAACTTTAACCTATGATGTAATCATTAACTAATGGTTAAGCATCAGATTTATATTTTATTGGTTATTTACGTTTCAGATTCGAACATTATTACGCACGAGATAAAGCTTCGCAAAAGACTGGTGTTAAACAAGTGTGATCAAGACGATAATCTCACCATGTAGGTCATGCAAACTTCTAAAAGAAGCTGCAACGATGAAATGAGTGATTAAACACTAAACTCTGGCAAGCTGGTGCTGCTTGGACCTTTGACTCTGGCTTCCTTTAGTGTTTTCCGGGTAAGCGCCACGCCGTCAAAATAAAAGGTTCCAGCAAGCAGCTTTAAAATTAATGTTCAAACAAAAGCCCTTTAATTTATAAAATATTATTAATTTGTATTCATAAGGTCGTGGACATTAATAATATTAAATTTCTATTTTTCCTCAGCGTATGTGTGTGTGTACGTTTCAGGATTACTGATACAAATTTGACGTCCCTAAACGCACCTCCTAAAGCCAACCAATCACACGAGCCGTGTAGTTCCGCCTGGTGGCGTGGTTGAGCGATTTAAAAACGTATAGACGGGACTAAACACGTACATTTACAGGTTATGCTAGCTTTTAGATCTGCGGAGTGTTCGAACAACTAGGGAGGCGGGGAGAATTGTGTTGACATCGACGACGATTGAACGTCAAATGGTCACAGATTTTCACGCCTGGATAGACAGATTTCCACTTATTGCTATCGCCTGTACATCGATGGGAAGTTTCACATGCGATAAGGTAAATGCGAGGTATCTTCTTTTTTGGCGGCGGGCTTTATTTGCTAACAGTCTATGTTTTTTCCTCTATATTTAGCAGTGCTAACTGTTAGCATTGAGGGTCAAAATAAATAACCAGCGTTACTGTTAGTCAATGGTATGTTGTCTGTTAGCTAGGCCGCGGTAGGGGTTTTAGTATATCCTAAAATACTGAGTATATTACTTAGTATGCAGGTTACATATTAGCCACACTCTCATGTTTAAATGTTGTATTTTAATGTACACACCGCCCACCTTCGGACGAAGCTGATCGGCTTTGCCATCGCTGCCCTTTTTAACCAACATTAGTGGCTCGTGCAGCGCATGAGACTGGTGTCGCTTTTGCTTTTGCACATATTCATTATTAAATGTGTAAGTTCGGGCTGTGGAACGGGTCTGTGTCGCGGGTAGTGCATATGATTAAAGAGTGTAAAGCGTTTCGACATGGATTTTAGGATCCCGCATGAAGAGAAGGACGTCAAGGCAGCCGGGCATTCAGTAAAGATGAGTCCTGCCCAGAGCCAGCTGTGCCTCGGCACCGAGTCTCCAACACGTCCCTGAGAACCACATGGATAACTATTTCGGAGTTTCCTCGAGACAGAAGTGAAAACCTTGCAGCAATGTCCGTCTCAGTAAGTAGTGTTTGCCTCTTTGTGTGCATGAACCGGATCTTGTTATTTTACTGTGATGGACAAAATAAAAAATAATCTGTTTTAGATCTGTTAATGATCTGTACGTTTGAGGACTTCATTGCTCACCCGACTGTTGTGAGGGTCTCCCACATGGCTCACTGGAGCCTCTCTGTCCCCAAGGGAGGGTCGGTTTAGAAAATGAAAGGGGGGTCTGACTCCATGGCTTTTTGGGTTGGCAATTAAACCCTAAACAGCAAGGGACAGATGTGCCTCTCATCCCCTCCCCCCTCCCTCTTATCCTGCTCATTACCATTAAGCCTCTGTGTCCATTTGATCATTGATCCTCCCCGACTGCTCCCCTCTTCCTCTCTTGGCAATGATTACTGACCCAGCTGGGAGTTTTACCATAAACATGACGTAAGCTTTTGGGTTTTCATGTCCACCAAACCTCCCTACCATTTCCCTGTCTCTTATATTTATGTCTCCGAGCCCTTTTCACTTTATTCACTCTGCATTTAACAGCCGTAAACAATCAACCTTCTATTCGACTGACTTGACACTGCTGTGCTAATGTGTGTGTGTTTGTTTGTGGCGGCAAAACAGTGTGGTAATTTAATGCAATTGGGGGGGGTTTAACTGCTGAACTTTTTGTGTGTGTTTGTGCGCTTTTCCCCAGACGGTTTTGGCCAAGGCGCTGTTTGACAACACAGCGGAAAGCCCAGAGGAGCTAGCTTTCCGGAAGGGTGACATCCTGATGGTTCTTGAACAGGAGCAGACTGGCGGACCAGGCTGGTGGCTCTGCTCCTTGCACGGCAAACAGGGCATCGCTCCCGCCAACCGTCTTCGACTCCTGCAGACCGCCCCGCCTCCAGACCTTGACCCGAGTCCTAGCCCTAATGAGGATTCTGTCTACCTGTCGCCTGGTCCTCCTTTGGGCCGGACCGTTATCGGCAGCAGCACAGACGATATAGATGGCGTGTATCGGACCCCGCCAGCTGTGGGTGAGGGCCGAGGAGGGGCGATCGTCTCGCGAACTGGAGAACTGCGAAGAGTGGAAGGTGGACGCCCACGCTCACACTCTAGCTCTGGGGTGCGGCCCAGACCTGATTGGGATATTGGAGTGACCGGACGTCCACGTTCACCGTCTTTAAGGGGACGAGGCACAGAAATGTCAGGAACGGTTTATCAGAAACCCGGAGGCCCCATGTCTTCCAAGCAGCCGGGAGCCATCGTGAGTTCAGAGTGTGTGTATCTTTCTCCCAGTGGAGTACCAAGGGCGTCCGATGAGCCAGAGGACACCACATATCTCGTTCCAAGGGAAACACTAACGTCAGAACAGTCAGACGACTGTTACTTGGTGCCTAAAGGTACACCACTGGCGGGTGATGATGTTTACCAATCTCCAACTGGTGGAGGTGTGGCCAGTCCTGTAGTCAATGGCACCCCCAACGTGAGCCAGGATGCACCTGGAATGTATCAAACACCCACTCCTGTGCGAGGAGGCTTGCATAAGACACCGGCCATAGTTCTGGCCCACCAACACCCTTCACCGTTAACCCCCGCCCAAGCGTCTCCTCGACCCCTGCTCAAGGGCGTTTCATCAAACTCCGCTGCAGCACGAGGCAAACCTGGCCCAGCCTGTCACCGGGGGTCCCCCCTGTTGGTCAGAGCGGGACAAGTCCGGACTCCGGGATCACCGCACTGTGCCCGCAAACCACCTCCACCGGCGCCTCCGGTGAGAGGAGTCACCTGGAAGGATTTACCTCAAGCCTTATCAGCTGACTCTAACTCTTCCCCCAAACCTGATAGTCTGGTAAGTCCTGCAAGCCTGCAGCAACAAGAGAATAAACAGATCAGAACTCAGCAGAGCAGCGAGGAAAAGATGAGCAACGGCTCAGAAAAAAGCAACAACATACAGAAAAAACAAGGAGGGAATGGAGATCTCCCGAAAGCTGCAAATGAGCAGGTGTGTGATTGTAAAATAGTTGTTCTACCAGCTTCTTTAAAGCTCCAAAATCTTAGCATTTTTTTCTTTGCCTACATTGTTTTTCTGATGCTTAATATTTAATAAACCATTAACACTTTGGTTATTTTCCTTTCTGCTGGACTGGTAGGTGTATGATACCCTTCCCAGTGGTAGATGGCAACAACCAGTCCATTCTGCTCCGCAGAAAGGTGAGGGCATCTACGACACCCCTCGTAGTGTCCAATCACAGGCCGACTCTGAGACAGAGGTATGGATTACTCCTAATATTGCTCTACTTTTGGAGTTAGCTAAAATGTTGCCTCTTATCTGGGTTTCTTATCTTTATTTGATGTGTCGGACCAACGAAACACGGTAAACATGCAGGATCATTGATGTTTTGGGACCTTTTGTCCCTTTGAGGGGCGAGGATTGAGTATTGAAGTCTGTGTAACATGTGACGATGAAGTTTTAGAGCAGTCATCCTGAACGTGTGCAAGTCAAGGCATCGATAATGACTTATTCATAATCCCAACCGTCTGATCTGACCTATTCTATTAACTGACTTGGGAACAGTGGGGAAACTGTTCTGGAATTCAAGTCCATACAAGTGAAGTGATTCGTGAACAAGAGATGACTATCAAATAGCCTGCCACTATGGATTCCCACATTCCCCATTGGTCTGTCTCCCTTCCCCCTCCCTCTGTCTAAGACTAGGCCACACCTGTCTCTGGCTGCTGGGGAAGTCTTTCTATCCAGTCCAAATGTTGTTTCTATTTTCTCCCAGTCACACCCATCTGTGAGGGCCGTGCTGTGGGTGTCCTACCACCACCACCCTGCCCACAGTGGTCTCCCCCTTTAATCTTAGTTAAAAGTGCGTGCCAGCTGTTGGGGCTGTGTTTTCCCTTGTCCTGCTGGTAATGTATGTGGAATAAAGACAGGGTTTCTTGTTATTATTGGGTGTAAATAAGTCCCAACCCATATGGTGGCCACTAAGACTCCTGTTGCGTGTATTTGTAGACCTTTGTAAGGTTTGCTTAGGTGCTTTCAGTTTGAACACCTGCTTTGTGAGCCTCTAAACAAGGAGCTGCTGTTAGAAGTTCTGAATCCCAAATCTATTTGGGAATCCCGGTGTGATGTGTTTCATGTTTTTCATTAATGGGGTGAATTATCATTTCTATGATCTCTATGCTGACGACTGCCAGCTGTATGTGGCTCTTAAAGCGGCTGACCCTGTGCAACCACTGACTGACTGCCTGAATGAAATCAAGTCATGGCTTTCTGCCAGTTTCCTCCATCTGAACAGCTCCAAAGTGGAGGCTTTTTTTTTTTTGCCCCCCTGCTCCCCCTATGCTGTGGAGCCATCTCTGCCTCCTTGTTTGTCAGTTGTTCTGAAGCCGACAAAAGTTTGGGGGTCATACTGGACGCCAATTTTAAAATGGATACACAGATAAACCAGATAGTCAGGTCGTGTTTTTTTCATCTTCGCCGGCTGACTAAATTAAAATCGGTCCGTAACAAGAGAGATCTCCACTCAGTTGTTCATGCTTTTGTAACTTCACGTTTGGACTATGCTAACTCTCTGTTATATGGGGTTCCCTCCTCTTCAATGGTATGCCTCCAATTGGTACGGAACGCTGCAACGAGGTTTCTAACAAACACAGACCGATGGCAACACATCTCACCTGTTTTGGCAAATTTGCACTGGCTTCCTGTTCAGTTTCGGATTAAAGAGCAAGTCACCCCCTACCAGATTCTTACTCAACTCCCACTTCCTGTTTCAAAAATGCAACAAATGCTGCTGCCTAGCAGACCGAGAGGGCGGAGCCGCTAACGAATACACACACACACACACAGGCTCACAACAACATTGTGACATCATATGGTACCAGCTAACGTTCTAGCATACCTCTTAGCCAATAGCGATGGTAGATTTAAGTTCAAATGCAGTGCAGAGTTTTTACCTGACAACGGCACAACACTGACAGTTTTAGGCAGAAAATTAAAATTTTAACTAAAATCCACTAAAGTGCAAAACTATTGACTGCACATGTTTGTAGCACTATTAGACACGCGTTTATATAGCTTATCAGGAAAAAATTTGATTTGCGGGCGATTTGCTCTTTAAGTTTAAAATTCTACTGCTGGTGTATAAATCTTTGCATGAAATGGCACCATTTTATTTGGCGCAGCTTTTAAGCCCCTATATTCCTCTGACCAGCACCTTCTGCTCGTCCCTCCAGCTCGCTGTAGGGCACGTGGCGAACGGGCTTTTTCAGTTTGTGTGCCTAAGCTTTGGAACCAACTCCCCCGACGGTCCGACTTGCCCCCTCCCTTCTAACTTTTAAAGTACGTCTGAAGACATATTTTTATTCCCTGGCTTATCCAGCTAAGATTGTTTAACCCTTAAGTTTGTTTGTTATTTTAGTTTTTTACTTAATTTATCTAATGACGCCGCTGTTTTCTAGTTTGGTGTCCTATCGTCTTGTACAGCACTTTGGTTGGCGTTGACACTTTTTAAATAAAGGATGGTGATGATGATGATGTTTTTCATTAAGTTTAGCGGTTTTAGGCATTAAGCCATTCTAGTTCACACAGGTGCAACATCCTTTGCTTTTACCTCATGCTTTTATTTGTCTCCAGGTGTATTTGGTTGGCCCTTGCATGGGTCAGTGATGTTTTAACTTCCTTTATGCACGTACAGCACTTTGGTTCGCCAACTGGCCGATGGAAAGCACTTTATAAATACTGTAAAGATGATGAAGAGGTGATGAGAATCTTCTGTATTTACCTTCGTAGGTCTACAATATCCCCACAATCACTATGAGCGTCCAGTCTGATGAAGCGGAAGATGATGTCTACAGTGTCCCCACACTTCCAGGTGTTCCTCTGGGGTCAGCAGATTCCAACGCCAACGTCACCTCAGAGGATGGCGTTCAAGTTGGACCGATCTGTTTTGTCCCTGGGTCAGATCACAAGCAAGAATCCTCTGACCCAAACTCAGGCATCTACGACATGCCTGCTCTGACCGTAGAAATGCTTCCTCATTCGTTGTCGTCGTCCTCCTCCACCTCCACTCGCCGCCTATCTATTTCCAGTAATGGTTCTGGAGACGTGCAGTGGAAGGCTTCACTTTCCAACCTCATCCAGGGGGTGTTAAACACCATCTCCTACTCTGTTTCCTCTTTGTCATCACGGGATCTGGCCACCTCTTTGGCTGAGATCCTTTCCACCTGGAAAGCCAGTCATACTGGTGATCCACCGCAGCCTCTTCAGCAGGCCTGGTCTCGACTTTCCGACCTGCTTCCGGTGTTATCCACCGTCGGTAACGCTCCTCCATCCGAAGGGCTTTTGTCACTGGTCCAGCGCTGTCTTGAGGAGAGCGCCCTGCTCTTACAGGCTCAAGGACGACCCCGTCTGCCTTCCCAGGACTCCCTGTCGTGCAGACCTCTGCCAGCACTCCCAGTGCCTGATGGAAAATCGTCTAACAGCGGAATGGGTTCCCGTAAAGGAAGCTGGATTCAGGAGAGGCCTTTGCCGCCGACGCCTCAGCCAGCCTTTTCTTTACCTCCAGCTCCAACCAGCGTGACTCTCACTATAGGGTCCGTTAACGGGGAAGACGATCAAAGCAACGAGTACGCAGGGATCGGCTTGCCTCCGATCCCAGCCCTGGTACCTACGGGAGACAGCGTTGGATACGTGAAGTTGCAGGTCAGTCTGCTGGTAACTGTTTATATCTATGTAAGAGGGAAAGTATTTGTATTCACTCATCTATGTTTACTAGGGCAAACCCGATCTACTTCCCGATGTCCTGAACGAGACACAAACTATCACTGCAGAGCCACGGGTGAGTCCATCACGATCGGTGTCACCTTCTCTCTCATAAATAATCTATTTCTGCCACTCCACAGGCTGAATTGTGAGACTTGTGCAGCACAAATAAGTGATTGATTCACTTTTTGAGTTGACCGGGCACTCTGTTTACTAGCGAGTACTGTGACTCATTAATCCAGCTTGCTTCCAAATGTGGCTCACGATGATTTTCCCACATCATACATCTTTGAGCTGCAGTCAGGCGTTTTGATTTGGACCCATTAACGTTGGGCAATTAGGCAGATTAATCGCCAAAGTCTAGGGTTGCAACGCTATTTCTATGTACGTAAACATTTTATACCGTCCAACATTGCATGGATACAAAGAGAATGCTGTGTCTTTCTGAAAATCTAACATTCGTCTCCTCAGTCTGTTGTTTTTCACCAGACTGGCCCTGTCTTTTTGTCACCCGTCTACATTTTGTCCTCTGCTTCTTGCGGGGCTCCTTTGACGTGCTTCAGGCGTGAAACAAGAGGTCACTTGTGATTCTCAACAATCTGGCCTCACATGGGGAAGGACCCTGTTGGACAATAAGTGACAGTCATTTCTTCAGCAGGGTCTCTTGTTTTTATGAAGCTGTGTGTTTCGAGTCGGACTCGGACAGACGTTCAAGTTAAATGTAGGTCCTGTTGTGTTTTAGAAGAATATGGTGGGGCAGTGTTGATACAGATTTAATGTTCTCCTGTTGGACAAATCACACAAGAGTACAATAATTGTTTTTAATGCAAAAGTTATAACTTTTCTCATCTCTTATTTTCTTGTTCCTCCTCATTTGGTCTCATTCTTCATCTGAAAACTTGATAAAAAATGTTATTTTGTAGTATTTTGATATGTGTTAGGGATGTCCCATTCTGATATCGGAGGTAATTTGATATCGGCCCAAAAACACTGTATCGGATTATATCGGACTGCATCAAAAATCTCCGATATAAGCAGTCCATTAAGGTTCACATTTTTGCAACCAATGGTTAAACAAAACGGTCATTTTTTTTTCATACTTACTGTTGCTGGCTCTTGTTTTCTGAGTAATATCACTTGATCGAGCCTTTCATACATTCCACACTACGAAACAGATAAAGGTGCGTATGATTTGTGCTGATATTGTATCGGATTGATATCGGTATCGGTCAATAAGTGAAGACTGCAAATTCGGTATCGTATCGGAAGTGAAAAGGTTGTATCGGGACATCCCTAATATGTGTGATAGCGTCTAAGGGTGTTTCCTCATTAGGGCATCTAGAGTTAAAATCTTCTGCTTGATTTCTCATGTGTTCTCTTCTTGTACAGTTGACTCCGTCCCCTCCTCTGCCCGTGTCCCTGTCCGTGGAAGACTCGGAGCTGCTGTCCTTTTACTCCTCTCAGAGCTTGGCTCACCTGTCCTGCCTGGCGAACGCCATCGACGGTCTCTACAACAGCCTGAAGGCAAACCATCCTCCTCGCATCTTCGTCGCCAGAGGGAAGAATCTCATCGTGACCGCGCACAAACTGGTGTTCATTGGAGACACGCTGTCCCGTCTTCTGACATCCGTGGACCTCCGGGCCAAGGTTCACACTCTCTTTGCTCCTGGCTGATTTTAAATCTAATCAAGTCCACGGTATCAGGTGAACTCAAAAGCCTTCCCTTCCTTCTTATTTCAGATCACCACATCTGGAGGACGACTCTGCCAGGCCTTGAAAACAGTTGTCGTGGCAACAAAGGGTGCTGCACAAAACTACCCATCGTTATCAGCCACCCAGGAGATGGTGGACCGTGTTGCAGATCTCTCCCAGCAAGCAGCCAGCTTCTCCACTCTGCTGCAGCGTTTAGCGGAAATATCGTCGTGATTTTGAAAGTCACCGTTTCATCGTTTCTAGCTGAAACGTCTTATTTGTTTTACACACTTGGGTTTTATTGTCTTTCTGGGGCCCTGCAACAGGTGTTTTAAACGTATTAGTTCTGTCTTTAAAGAGTGTGTGTGAGTGTGTTTATTCTTTTTTTTTTTTGCCCTCGTTTAGAAGCCGGCGTTTTTGCTTTGATGGTACACCTTCTGTTTTTTAAGTGTTAACTTATTGAATATTTTATTCAAACCTTGCTGTGGTCCAAGTGTCGGTGTGGACGTGCTATTTTGGGAGTTTTGCTTTAATGTGCTTGCCATATTTCTTGTCCCCACACATGAGTCATTTCCTTTCCTTTATTTATCTAGCAACCCTCTCAAGTCCAAAAATAGTGCAAGAGGAGGCCTGGCATCCTGCTTCTGACCCGCTTTTCTCGATACCTGATAGGCCTTCCCTTTTTCTTGTTATGAATCTGATCTGCATGCTGGAAGTTTTGTGCTTTTAAATAAGCAACGTGACACTTCAAGGGTAGTGTTTAACGAACATTTTATGCTTGATCTGTCTTCTGCTAGAAACGGTTGAAACATGACTGGACAGATTTTTTATTTCGCTGTCATGCAGTCCCATGCATGTCGAGTTAACAACCCAGGAACTAAAAGATGGTTAATGATTGCTGAATGAAGAATTACCTAAGCTTTTTTTTTTTTTTTTCACACTCTGTCATCAGAATCCTGTTGACCAAGTTCTCCTGTCCCAACATGTCTTGTTTAGGTGTCTTCTGCTTTACTTTTAGTCATTATTAGCAATGTTCGTGTAAGTAAACGCTGAGGTTTATACACAAAGTATGCACCACAATCTGACCTTCCAGGTGATGCTGCCGTGGCCTCGAGTGAAAACTACAATATAAAGCACGGCCCACCTAAGTTTGTTTACATTTAGTATTCTTCATGAGTGATGTGTTGCATTTTACAGCTTAAACACAAAATCAAGTTGTTGTTTTCTTTACAAAGAGGGATATACATTTTAAGATTTAATTACATGATCTGATTTATGGATTCAAATGTCATGATGCCTTTTGTTTTACTGTCTAAAGCTTTGATGAAGCGCCACCTTCTGGACGTTTGAAGTATTATCTAAGGAGTACTCAGCAGATCAAACCCCATCACTGTGTGCTAGAATATAACTGACAACCTTTAGATTTTTGTTATTCTTTATTCATATCTTTAATTTTACATTTGCATGGCTTTTAAGTTCTTTACCTTTTTATGCACATATTTCACCTGGGGATTTTAATTTTGAGTGTTAGCATTTTTATATACATATTTTACACTACAAGGTAAAAATATGGCAACCGTTACTTTGTATAGGGGCTTTTGTTTGTATTTGATAACGTATTGAGAAGACCCTTGGACTTGTTTTTTTAACACTACTTTTGATGTCAGTTTTGGGTCTGTTCATTATGCACAAATAGATTCTTTACTACAAACGCGTTTTGCTTTGCGTGAACTTTCATATTGTGTTTTTTTTTCCATTCAGGTTCTGTGAATAACGGTGTTATTTATTGATCCTGTCGGATATTTCTTAAACCAAAAATGTCGGTGGCCTAGTTTTCCTTTAAGAAATAAAAGGATAAAAAACTGTTCTGAATTGAGCTGAATAAGTGGCGGGAAGGGTGAAACTGGCTCGGTTCGTGTGATTCGGCTGAAAAAACGAGCGTTTCCGGAAACTACCGAGCAGTGACGCCGAGCGGCCGTAGCGACGTTTGTTGGGAGTTTAGACAAGCGGAGGGAGCAAAATGGCGGACGAAGATATTACGCTTGATGGAAAACCTCTACAGTCGCTCCGAGTTGCGGATTTGAAAGCTGCCCTGGAGCAAAGAAACCTCCCGAAAAGCGGACAGAAAAACACGCTGATTAAGCGACTCAAAGGGGTAAGTTTGTGCGCTTGCTTTGCTTGTCTGTCGAGTCTGGCTAACTTCAGCAGGAGGCGAGAGACGGCAGGAGGGGGGGGGTAACATTAGAGGCCGTAACGGTGTGTTGAAGCGGGAATCCAGAAATTGTCATGCTCACCGTGTTAGAAGTAAACACGGCACTTTGTTACCGACAACACAACCGGACTATCTGCCTAACGAGGCCCGAGTTGAGTCGTAACTAGTCACCGAACACCGTGTTGCACACAGTTGAACTGTGCACCTGTCAACTCGAGGCCTAAGCTGAGAGTAGCCAACAGCCGCACACAGTGTACAGTACTTGACAGTACCCGCGGGCACGCCATCCGAGTGTGTTCTGGAGGCACGGGAGCGCGCACAGCTATGTAAACACAAATTGACGAGCTTTGTTATCTTGTGCGTTTTTATTTTCACTGATGTCAGATATGTATTTAACATACACATAAGTGATTTTACGCAGAACACTGAACACAAAGAAGCCTTAAATGTTGATTATATAATTGTTTCCACTGACCCGTCCTACAGAAAAAGGTTAGCAAACATGCTAGTTGAAGTCTCGAAATATTTTTAATTTAGTAAGAAAACACCGTTTTTTTTGCTCCAATCGAATTAAAATTTAAAGATTAAAGTTACATTTCCTTATATGAATATATATTTGGATTATTTTGTAGGAGCATTCAAGAAGTCTCGCATCCCATCTGTTGCTATAAGACGTTGCACTTTTCTCTTAGAAAGTTTTATTGTTGGTCAAAGATGTTTGTCATCATTTAAGCAACGGACCTTTTACAACGTACTGAATCGGATTAAATTGTAACTGGATTTTAAGTAGAATCCTAATGCAGGTGTAATTGGATATTTGGAAATTAATTGAATGAACTGGATTTAACTAGATTACATGCAATTCAGTTTCAGTTGAACCCACTTGTTATTTGATAAATAATATGCCCTGGAATTTATTTAATTGTGAATTAATTAATTTATTATGAATAATTTCAATAAAAAAACTCAACTGAGGTGTATATAATATATATATATATATATATATATATATATATATATATATATATATATATATATATATATATATAATATGCATATTATATATCTACAGGGTTTTTCCTGGCTCAAATTAAGGCAGAGGTGGTACCATCCTGACCATGCGTCAGCACATGCATACTCTATGCATTCAACTGCCTCACTTTTTTAAAGGCTAAATATTATAAAAGGCTCAATAATATGCATTAGAGTAGTGTTTAGTTCCCTTTTTCCCATCTGATATTTATGGTTAAAAATATTTTTAAATATTTGACCTACATTTCAGTAACATTTTAGGTTTGTATTAATAACACTCATCTTAGTCAAAATAACATAAATAAATCCAGGAAAATATAATGCATTTCATTAACATGCATTTGTATTAGAATTGCTAATAACATTTAATTTCTGCTGCTAACAATGTAATGGTGGCATGTCTATTATGTATGGGTTAGGGTTAGGGGGGTGTTTTGTTTTGTTTTGGCCCCTAAAATGCTTTGAAACGGCCCTGGGTGTGTGACTGAGTTTTGAAGGTGATCTGAATTGTATCAGATGTATGAGTATGACATGTGGATAACTTATTGTTTTATAACTTATTGTAACTTATTATAAAAACGTGTAGTGGAGATAACTCTACCGACATTTGACTTTCAAGATTTGTTTTCTTGTTTTATTTAACTATTTTCCTGTCCTGTCTGTCTCTCATCTTCCTGCATCTCCTCTAAACTCCAGAAAAACTGCTGCCTGGATTCTTACTTTTTCACCTCATCAGTTACTTTTGAGCAGATCAAAGGATCTCCTGATCGCAAAGCATAGTGTGCGTTTCGATTAGGGCTGCAACTAACGATTATTTTCATAATCGATTAATCTGTCTATTATTTTTTTCGATTAATCGATTAATCGGTTTGTTATTGTTTAGCTATTTAACCAATACAAGTGATGAATACATTTCAGTTAAGAAAAACATAAGAGAATTGTGCAGTTGACTGCAATCTATTTTATTGCACATGAACACAGTCAGCGGTGTAAAATGAGCTAAACAGTGCAAAATATCAGTCCAGAATAATTTTTTGGCATCAAAATGTAAGAGGTAAATTCCATAAAAAAATAATGCAGAATCTAGAATAGAGTTTGTAAGTGGTATGCATTGCTGGGGGGTGAGTGTCTTGTTCCCCTTGTAGTTGTCCATCGTTGCTTGTTTTTTTCTGCATAAGAAACACTGAAATAAGTACACATATAAAATAAAGCAGCACACACACTACAACACTAAATCAATATTATATTATTTGAATTAATTAACAATACAGTGATCATTTATTTTGATAAAAATGTGTTGTGAGGCGTTTTACAGCGTTAGATAGTAAAACAGCCTTTTAATAGTAAAAAAAATGACTTTTTCTGAATTTCTCCTGTATTTAAAAATTGAAAGCGTACAACTATGCCGCGTTATATTCACCTGGACACAGCTCGTCTATATTTTTCTCCACGGAGTTGTCCTTTTTTGAATGAAGAACATAGTTATGGGTTTGTGTCGTTTTTCTCTTAACGAGAACATTCTTATAAACAGACGTGCTAAATTTGGCAAGCGCATGATACACAACACGGAGGAGATTCACGATTTCATCTAGTCAATCAGAAGTAGAACACCGTAGACTGACGCGGCAAAAAAACATGTTTAACATCCACTATAACGAACTCAGCTAAAACACTAAGTCCCAAATTTGATCTGCATGTAGTGATGGACCACTATATTTAGCTTGTTTATTTTCTGTTTCTTACCGGGCTGGCTCCTTTGTTGCTGCATCAGCCCCCACATGTTTTCGTCTCAAATGTTCACTTAGGGACGTCGTGCTTCCGTGCCATGCTAGATGGTTTTAGCATATTTTGCAGGTCTCCCGTCTTTTCATGGCATCTAGAGTGAAGTGCTCCCAAACTCGTGAGGTTTTTGTCCGGGGTTTCTCTTCAGTTTCTTCCGTATTTCTTCTTGTTCCGCCGGCCGCCATCTCTCACAGCAAGATGCGCGTCAGTAACGTGTTACGTCGTGAAAACCGAGGGCACTTATTGGCTCGTTTCTTCTTCTACGGCTCCACTGGTAGATCAGTGGCTCATTACTGCCACACACTGGCGGCAAATTTAACAGATTGTAACCGATGTCAGATTGTGGTAAAAATAGACTTTATGCGGTAAAATGTGATTATTAAACAACTAATCGATGACTAAAAAAGTTGTTAACTATTTGAATAATCGATTATAATCGATTAAATCGATTAGTTGTTTCAGCTCTAGTTTCGATGCTGCATTAGTGAGGTGAAATCACTGCAGCACATGATGAGTGGAGCGCGTCAGGAATGATAAAAAGACAGAATACCAGAGGATTTAAAAAGATATGAACGATCATGTGTTAATAATAAAGTTTTGTTGCACCACCTTTAGGGTTGGACATTGAGCATCGAGCATTGATTGGAACCGGTTCCAACTGTTTGATTTTCCTGGAATCGTTCAAAGTTTTTATTTCAATTCCTAGAGTGCCGACGGAAGAGGAACCCGCGGCCGATCTCCGTGAAAAATAAACATGATCTGCAAATTGTGATCAACACTTTTCAGTGCTGATCACACCAGCTGTCTGTGTGCAGCATCGAGTCCCCCCTCCCCCCACCCTGCACGCTGTGGCCAAATATAAACATAAACAAACGCGTCTGCCGGACTTTTACTCCGCAATGTAAACTTTAACTCCTGCAGCCAAAAATGCGTTGTAGAGGAAGCTTGTTAAATACGTCAACACGGTGGATTTAATAGAAGCTTTAAAGAACAATCTCTGGATGATGTGAGGTGAGTTTGTCTCACTGCAGAAATAAAAACACACACGGATCGTCAGCAGTCAGACACAGCCGCTCACCAACACTCGTGTGTGTGTGTGTGTGTGTGTGTGTGTGAGCGTCAAAAGGCTGAACAATAACCTGTCGAATAATTAAAGTCATGATGCTAGAGCAGCTTCTCTGTGGTGGACCACACCAGCTTCTGCCACAATAAATAATAATTATAATAATAATAAATAACATTTTTTATTTCCTTTCTGAACTATTTCTGTTGAGTTTTAATGTTTAAAATCTGTTAGATTGTTACTGACAGCAGCTACATTTAAGTTTCACTTCCTGTTCTGACTGAACGCTGCTGCAGCATGGAGGTGTAGTTCTCAGTCATCCTGGACATGATCATCCTGAGAGTTTTAGCTGAAAACAGCTGGACGTTTCTGGATATGTTGGAGACATTTAGCCTCTCATCCTAGAGGCTTCTTCCAGACTTTGGTTGTGGTCAGAAACAAACACACTGGTTGTGCAGCAAGTCTTTTTCTTTTTTTCTCCAAAACATGTTTTTGTCTAAATGAAGGTGATGTTGTTGTTCATAGAGTTAAAATTCATGTTGAAGTTAAGATTATTTCATCAAGTATGGACCTGTGGTTAGCTGGCTCATGTAAAACATGTCATGTCTTGAAAGAATCAGAATCGGGAATTGATAGGAACCGGAATTGAAACGAGGAATTGGAATCGGAATAGTTCAAAATCAAATGATGCCCAATAGGGTTGTCGCGGTGTGAAAATGTAACCTCACGGTTATTGTGACCAAAATTACCACGTTTTTCGGTATTATCGCGGTATTTTTTTTTAAACGTGCTACATTTTCACACAACTAAATAAACCCTGTATGTCAGGAAAATATTGTCCTCAGTTTGTGTCAAAATTTGGCCTAAAATGTGTTATTTTGTAATTATGTTGTTTATTTGTTTACATTTTTCCCCTTTAGTCTTTAAAATACCAACATTTGCCCATAACTTCTTATTTTATGTCTGTTTGATGACATAATTTTAAAAATATTAGATCAGATGATACTCAGTACTCAAGTAGCCTTCTAATCAGATACTTTTTTACCCTTACTTGAGTAATAAACCCTATATCAGGAAAATATTGTCCTCGGTTTGTGTTCCAGTGAGCTTTGCAGATGTGGGAAAATGTCATCAGGCAGTAATCACTGTTAAATTCATAATTATCCTCGGAGAGAGACCAACTCTTATCTGCCCCTGGGAGCCCCGTAATGCATAGCGTCATTTCAACATGGGGGTGTCTGCGACACGGTTTATATGCAGGTAGCGGCGCTGCGGCTGCTTTATATAGCGACTCGTTGCTTTCTCCCTCAACCCAAATCCTCTGATCACGCATTTTAGCTAAAACGCTAACGTTAGCTTGCCTTGCGTTGACTGTAGAGTTGTGGGTGATGGTCACGCAGACGTGTCATGAGATTTGAAGCGTTGCTGCCTTTCATAGACACTTTTTCTGCACATGCTGCAAACAGGATCGCCGTCTTCTATAAACTCCCTCGGCATTCTTCAGATATCTAAAATATGCCCGTACTCAAGTGTTGCCAACTGTTTTTGACTGAAAGTAGCTGAAGTTTCCCCCAAAAGTCACTAGATGTCGCCAAATGACGTCATGTGCTAATTTGCATACGGCGCAATGACGTCCCCTGGTTTGCGTGATGACGTCACCATGTTTGCGTCATGACGTCACCAGTCTTGTAGAGTAAATCAAATAAAACCCATGTGATTTTATTTTAAAAAAATATTTAATTTCTTTTTTAATACTTTATTAAAATAAAAAACCCATAGAATACAAAACAGCAGCCTTTAAAACATCAAGGAAAGATGGCACAAAAAAATGGAAGGAATATTTATATTTTGTCTGAAGAGAATGGAACTCTTTAACACAAAAATATTAAATTGATAGGAATGTATGTATGATTGAATTAAAATGAATTTTCTGTTGTAGTTTTCAAGTGCCTTGAGATGTATTCTTCTGTTGTGATTCAGTGCTACATATTGACCTAAAAGATAATATATATATATATATATATATATATACATATACAGCGCTTTGTGATTTATATCTGTGAAAGGCGCTATATAAATAAACATTTACTTACTTACTTATATATATATATATATAGATAGATAGATAGATAGATATTTTGTTTTTGTTTGGTTTTGTTCTTTTTAGTACTTTTGTGTAAAAAGAAGCAGGTCGTATTTAGTATTCAGAAACGTTACATGCAAACTGCCAATGACCTGCCAATGACTTACAGTATTATTCTGTTTTTTTTTTATAAAAGTTTTAAATATGCTACGTTATTGAACTCATCATAGAGTTCCAATGTTCCTTGAATGCACCACAAGTGGTGCGAGAAGCATGTGTGAGTGCGACGCTGGTGCCAGGCGAGTATGGCGTTTAAAGCGTGCCACAACCCGTGCACGCGCATTGGGTCCACAGCGCGCGTGTGAACGGGACTCGCGAGCGGAAATATACATGGCGAGAGGTCATTTGTGCACTGAGAGGGAGCAAACTGTGTCTGTGAGCGCACAAGGATGTGCACAAGTGATAAACCTGCGTGCGCGCGTTGTCAACGAGCACACGGCAGAGGAAAACGTGCGCGCGCGCTCGGCAGCCTCTCTGCGCGCTCGGTTTCTGACTCCTGCTCGCTCGGCTGTAAGGGCTTTTGGCACTCTGGAGGCGTGGCCTGTGGCAGATCTTCTCTGTCCTCTGATTGGTTAGTTTACCCCGCACTGTATCCTCTATCTATATAAAAAAGTCTGACATTCAGTAGTTGCTGGCATAGCTCAGCTGGGAGAGCGGGTGACTCTCGCCCCGGAGGATCCAGGTTCGAGTCCGGGCAAGGAAAATGCAGTAGATGTCATGTTAATTTTTCTTAATTTCAGGTATTTTACAGTTGTGACCGTTCAACTGTCATTAAACGTCCGAATGTTTGCTGGGCAGTGTTTTAAAAAGTGCACA